AAAAAGAAGTATTTTAATTTGATTTTTAAGTTTTGGTGTTTTTTTCTTTCTTGGTTTAATATGGCTAGAAATACACTTAGAAATGCGATCTGAGATGTGTTGTTGGGACATGTGGAACCAGTTAGAAGTTTGTGTTGCGGTTATGATAAGATAAGGGGTCTTCTTTTTTGTGTGTTTGTAGATGTCTGTGTATTGCCATGGTTTGTCTTCTTTTTGTGTTGTAAAAATCAATAAAAATACTATTAAAAAAAAGAACCAATAAACTGGGACTGTCCCTAGTAAATAGGGACAGCTGGGGAGGACTGTGAAATAACAACAGCTCTGTGAAGATGAGAGATGCTCACTGGTCTAAGACACCTGAGAAAGAGTCTCCCCAATCCAGATCATCTCACCCTTTCTTACATTACCCTTGACTTACCGTTGTCTTGCGAAAGTCTCCCATCTTAACAAAGCTTCTCGCCCCAGTGCCTGTTCCACCTGGTTCAGTTTTCCTTTGTCAGGCAGAATGAAGAGTGCCGAAGCGTTGCCTTGGTAAGGGATCCGCACCACCTCGCAGCCCAGCTCTTCATCACGATAGGTATAATAGTTGCCGTCTGTGCGCATCATAACCACTCGCACTGCCGTTTCGTTATTGATAAAGAACTCCCTCCTCCGAGTGATCTCGGGATCAAAAGGTGTTTCCCAATAACCTTTGTAAGAAAAAGGTGACGGGATATATTATACAGAGCCAGAAGATTTGTTCATGTTGAAATGAGCATTGAAATATCACCCAAATTCAAAAATACAACTAGGGCTGCGATCACACGCACCATTAGACCCGACATAGGCATGAATGCCGGGCGCATTTGAAAGTAGTGATCAGACAGCAACATCTGGGAAGTGTCCTGCAGCTGTCAGGAACCCGTACTGCTCCACTGCAGAAGCGGAGTTAAAAGACACCAGGGAAAATCTGGTAGTAAATGTATTGCAACGGGCCACAGATGGCGTTTCCCCTGTCTGGTCACTCAAATGTGCTCTCATGCCATTGGGATGGTCTGATCGGGCCATCCCAACTCCAAGCCATTGTTCCCCCACCCCTTTTGCTGTATGTGCATCATCACAAACTCCATAGAGAGCCCTCAGTGCGGAGGTGCGATTCCTTGATTCCTTGTTTAAGCCCATGGGAAACAAACGGCAAAAAAAAAAAAAGAGAGACTCACCCACTGTTGCATCTGATCACACACTGAGGGGCCGCGCCCGCAGGTTCAAAGGGAGGTGTGATCTCACAACCGTGTGTCATATTCCACTGGAGGAGATAGCCTCGCTTTCCCTCCGCCTAAACTGGCCCGTGTGACCACAGTCTAGGTCTGAATATGACCAGTTGGAATTTTGAACCTTTTCCTAGTTTGACTTCAGTACTCACTGA